TTTAAAACATGCAAACCAAGTATAAGCCTAGAAGCTGAACTCTGCTGATTTTCAAAACCTCTGACTCCTCTCAGTTTGTAAAGCTGCTGAATATGGACTGATGCCTCCACCTGCCCTCGGGAGATGCCTGCTGACAGGTACTAACCTCCGACGATTACCCCTGCCCTGCCCGCTCGTCCACACCTATTCCACCACCTCACTTGTACCACCTTTACAATTAGAGTATTTAGTCAATGATTTTAAACACGGAAAAACTATAGACCTGTCCTGAAAAGAGGGTATTCACATTCCCTAGATCTGGCCTGGTGAGGCTCTCAGATTTCCAGTACAGCCTGCAGAGAGAGGCAAGTGTCTGCTTTCATTCATCTGCTGGAGAAGTTTCTTTCCAATAGCTACAGGACAAACCTGCAGAGACCGGTGTTGTGAGGCTGAAATTTGCCTTTGTGAACACCTCGCAAAGCGGCAAGCATCTAGCGAGAAGGTGCAGCTGCCACCGAGCTCCCGGGGAGCAGCCTCGGGCTCCTCCCCGCGGGACCCACACCGGCCCTCCGACACGAGAACCCCAAAGGATACACAATAAAAGCTTCCCTATCTCCAAAACTACACAAGAGCATTTAAACAGTCAAGTGCCAAAATGAACTATATGGCATTCTATACATACAAGCATAAATATATATACATACATATATATACGCACACATATATATAGCACCGAGGTCTCATGGTTAGTTTTGTCAGCATCTGATCTGTACATCCCAAAGCAGCAGCCTGATATGATTTGTCTTTTTCTTTTTGTTTTCAGGTGACAACTATACATGGAAAGCCCTCCGTGAATTTAGGTGTCAGCAGCTATAGACTCCCGTACTACACAGAGGAGCATCATACATATGTAACTGAACTACCACTTTTCTAAGGTAGCTTTGTTGCGCAAGAGATCTCTGTAGAAAGGTATGAGCACTTTTTTTTTTTTTAAACATCTTTGCCAGGGTGAGTTTTACCAGTATCAAGAGGAGTGGTGACCTGTTGGTCAACAAGAAAGATCTGTTGGCCAAATAAAATCTATTCGCAAGATTCAAATGAGACAAAAGCAGTGCCGGGATCCCTAGGGGCGCAGGGCAGAGTTTCACACTCGCCCTGCATTTTCCCCGGCTGCGTTTCACCTGCTGAAGACAGACTACCTGCATTCTGGGAGATACACCGAAAGAGAAATGATCCCTTTTTTTCCTGAAGAGACAGGAATTTCTAACAGATGCACGACTGTTTGTATCGCTTCAAGGTATCCATGTGTGATTTTAGATTCTCTAAAATGATCTGTATTTTTGCCCAGAGTCAGAAATCTTGGTAACATGATGAACAAGACAGCTTTAGAGCCTGTCAGTTCAAAGTTTTTCACAATATTTTGCCAGGCTTTACCTTTTTTCTTTCCTCTTGGGAAGACAGAGGGTTGGAAGGTGGCTGAAAGAGTTAGGAGCCTAAGTTTCATTTGAAGTCATTGGGATTTGTAATCCTAAATCCCTCAAATACTTTTGAAAAATCTCTCCTAGAGACTCTAAAAGGCTTTTGCTGCAGATACATTGCTTGACAAAAGTATCCTATTTCCTTTTCCTTTGACACTGAAGTTTCATCTCCATCAAGACAGAGTATCTACCCTTTTCTTATCTAATATGCATAAGCCACCAATAATATTCCTGGGAGCTACACACACACAAGGGCAATGAAACAGAGAAATAAAATGAAAATTTCAAAGCACATATGTATCCTCAGAGATTTCTAATGGGTCCTTCCTTCTTAAATTACTTCAGCAATTCTAGGATTCAAATCACAGACTAGCAAGACTGCTCCCTTTTACGCCTCTCTTTTGCGAAATAAATGACCGCCAAAGTTCAAATTCAAAGCCAATAAACAAAGCCCTGGGGCTTCCAGCTGCTGCCCTGGCCCCTCCTCCGTGTCCTTACCCCTTCATTCATTTATCCATGCCTTTCCTTCTCTTTCTTTTTCTTAACTGATTCACTCCTCCTCATTTGTGCTGTGATTCACATGTATAATTTCATACTTTTTAATTTCCAAAGGTGCCAAAATGCTTTTCTGTAACATGATTTGTGACTCTGTTTTGCCGTTTTATCTGCAACTTCTCTCCTTTCCAGGACAGAAGGTTCTGATGTTAGCAGTTATTAAAAAAATCTAAAGTGAGGTTGGGCATCTTTTTAAACCCAAAGCCTCTTTCTCACCTCCTGCAATTATGCAGCACTGATACCATCTGCTATTATTTAACCATTATCCAGAAGTTAAAGCACAGTGACACTGGAAATAAGGCATTCTTGGAGAAGGTCATGTAATTCTCAACTTGCTTTCCACAATTTATTGAACTCTTAACTGTTTGACTGAGTATTTCCTCTTTTTCTCTTCTTTTTTTAAATTTTTCTGTTTTTTAAGCCATGAGGTAGCTGTTGAGGGTCAAGGGACAAGCATATGAGAGACACTGGAGAGTTAGCGGTTTTTCTGCATTCATCAACAGAAAGGATCAGTTTTACTCTTAGAGTATTTTAGAATCTACAGCACCAGACTGAAACAGTTTTAGAAGAATGTGAAATGTGAAAGAGCTGCAACACTCCATCCGTCTCTCCCTGCAGAACGCCAACTGTAAAAGCACTCATCGTATGGAGATGACACCTGTCTAGGCCTTGGTCATGCTTACTCTCAAAGACAGCAATTTACAACCACCATGCCAAACGTTCTCCCACTGATAAGGCTCATCCTTGCTCAGACCATGGAAAAATGGATTCCTTCTGTTAGCTGTCTGGCAGCTCATTCCTCTCCTAGAATGGTCCAATTTATGAGGTACTCTCACTATAGTGCTCAATCAATACTTTTAAATATGGATACTTAAGATACTCCCAAATACAGTTCGTTTGCTTTGAAAAAGCGAAAGAGAAACAAAGAGAAACTTGAGAAATCCTGCAAACGGAACACGGCCATCGAAGAAGCAGGTAGACGAACAGTTTTAAAGTGAAGCAATTATAAACATGAAGCAGTAAAATGGACATAACTCACGTTCTAAAAACACAAAGGAGGAAATACAAGATGCTGAAAAGCCACATGCAAAACACTATTCCTAAATAGGAAAAGAAGGACATGCAATATTTTTATAAAATCAAGTTAGATGCAAGTTCAGACATATAAAAATATAGTTTCTCTTTAAACGAAAAGCTACCTGCCTGCTCAATAACGTGCCCGAGTAATTTGCTTCCATGAATACCTTTTCTGAATATAAAATCACAATTACATATCCAAACGACCACTTCACCACACCTAGCTTGTTAGCTATACTCAGTACGGATAACATCCATCCCTGTTCTGAAGGGCAGTGGAAGTCTGGCACTCCACTTCCTGCCACTTTGAGGACAAGATTTAAAAGAGACAAAGATTGTGCAGTGAATCCACACGACTGGACTTCATCTTTCTTGTAGTTACTATATACATAATCACCCCTTTCAAAATGACTGTAGGATAACTCCTATTAAAAAAACAGGTACGTAGATAGAAACTAAAAGAATACCATTTTGAAGAAAACTGCGACTGAAGTTCTATAATTTAACAGACATAATGTTCAATAATTAACCAAAACCAGTCAAAGAAATGCAGGTTTTTCAAAAAATGCCTTAGGCAATGGAGAAAGTCTACCATGCACCTGAGATACAACAGCTGTAAAGCCCTGGCCTCACCTGTGTTCCCTGGCACTCGGGCAAAAGCTACACGAAGTTCACAGAACATCACAGACAGGAAAAATGAGCAATAGTCTAAAAGCAAACAGAGAAGCTAACAGATCCACGCTGCATATTGTGTGTTGTTACCCTTCACAAATCAAACAGCTCGTAATTGGTTCTACCAAATCAAAAGCAGCTGTGCAAAATGTAATTGGTAACATTTTTTCTGAAAAAATACATTTGAGAAAGCTTTAAGAATGTAATGAAAGTGGTTTTGTGCTACACTTTTTTTGTGCTGCAGTACAGAGGCGTAACTAGTTTTAAGAAATAGTGAAGTTAAAATACAATATTCTGATTTTAAGGACAAACTTGTGGCATGTCATCAGTTTACACTGCTTTTGTATCTGGCTTTCAGAGGACGGACTGCTGAGATTTCTTTGTTTCTAGTGTTTTTTCCTGAGCTGACATCAACTGTCAAACACAATCCATCCTGCCTAGCTACATCAGGGCTCCTTGTGTTTCCAATGATGTCCAGCTATGATCTTCAGAGGCAATGTCTCCTACCACCCCTGCTGAAAAGCATGTTGCTACCTCTGAAAACCAAGCAGTGAAGGCTTGGTGTGGAGTTGCTACCTGGCATACCTTTTAAACTGAACATTTCGTGACATGCCTGTCATTTCCAGTGCTATTCTGGACACGACAACTTGAATATTCCTTGTTTCCTTTTTCCTCTCCTATGCTGGCTGGCCTGGAAATTGCTGAAGAACTATTGCCGCCACTTGACAACTCACCAAGAGAAAGGAAGTACAAAACATCACCGACAGAAGCAGTATGGGAATCAGCAGCATGTCTACAGTACCATTTTGTTTTGAAAACCAGCCCTGAAATTCATACATTCCAACTGGTTTCAAAGAATTGCCCCTTTGATTGTTGGGTAGTAAAAGTAATTACATTTATGACATACATTTAACAAAGTTTTTAAAATGACAGTAAGCGTATGTGAAGATATCTGTTTTAAATTGTGCATTAGACTGGGGTTCATGGATACAGGGAAGCCTTTCTGAGCACATATATCACCACCGAACATAAACTGGAATGGACGGGCATGGAAAAACGGCTGAAAAATACAGAGATGTGTCAAGCCTTTAGCTATGAACCACCTCAAGCTGTGACTAAATTGGGAATGAGATCTAAATAGGAGTACGGGCCTTCGTGAACGCATGGGAAAAAGGGATAAAGTATACGGGTGTATCGCAAAATAACAGAAGACAACCACAAAATATGTACTAAATTTACCTTGATCAAAAGGCTTGTTTGGATTCCAGTTTCTGAAATAATCATCCTAAATGAAAGAGAAAAAAAAGGAAACTCAGGCAAAATATAAGCAGTCTTTTCAGTACAATTTTACATAAATAAACTGCAAATTCATCAACTCCTCTCCTGTTGCTAACGTATTCTACCCAAATCAGATAAAACTATTAACAAGTTATGTCCTAAAAAGTAGTAAATACAGATTAGAAAATAAAGATTAAAAATTTCCTCAAATTCACATTTTCATTCCAAATTGTTTTCCCAAGTATGTCCCTTATTAAATATTTTCTAACAACGTTGTATCATTTCATAACAGTTTACGATCTGTGATAATAAAGATAAAATTATATTGTTTAGGTAACACGACATGATCCACACCAAGATCTTGCAGGAAAAGACCAGAGGAATACATATATTCATTGAGACACATGTAAATCACACCATTGCAAATATATAGAAATATAGCAGTAACATCATAAGCACTACATTTTAACTACAGTAACATCCAGGAGCACTTGGAAGAAATATTTAAAGGAGGAAGCGATAACAACAGAACAATGCATTTGAAGTGAGGAAGCATGGAGAATTTCTAGAACACTGTAACAATATTCTGCATATTAGTCTTTTAATTCTTTCTTAACACAACCAGCATTCCACATTCACTTCTTAACAAGGGCTGCTACTGAAAAGATGTCCTTAGCGAGCTCTCCAAAATGATGCCTAGATTTCTTTCTCTTGCCAGAAGGGTGACTGAAAACCCATCAGCGGGAATAAGACACTGCAAATCTGTGCTCGGCTGCCTGCTCCAGGGCAGGCGAGGATGAATAACTGCTCCCGGGGACGAGGAGGGCTGGGCGCGACTCTGCATGTCTCTACCGGGAGGAAATGTATTTTCCTTCTCCAAGCATTTGTATGCTCATTGCCTGCCCCAACTTCATGGCCAATGATGACGCCCCACAATAACAAAGACGATTATTCATAATGTATTTCAGATACATCAAAAGTATCCTATGCTTTCTCTGCAGGAGGACAGGATTTGGCATCAGGAATAGAGTGTTAGATTCGCCTTTGAATTCCACACCTTTGTTAATACTAAAAACTCACCGTGATGCAATGCTTTGTAATTGATGATGATGTGCTGCTCAGTTCACCAAGTATTAATCACTTTTGAGGAATATGCGGGGTTTTTTTTTTTTTAGGTTTTTGAGCAGAAAATTTTTTTTCTACTAACGGATTTTTTTTTTTGCCTACTTAAATTTTTTTCTAGGTGTTGCTTTGCTGCTGTTTTTTCAGCATGAGAAACTGTTAAATAATTCAAATCCCAAGAAAGATTTCTTATGCTGTTGGCATATGGAACTGGTTTTGAAATACAGTTTGGAAAGGGGGTTTATCTCAATTTCAGTGTCAAAGGAATATTTTACAGCACGTGCACCTTGCTCATAAAAAACTACAAAAGTCCCATCTGTTCTGTAGCCCTATTACTTCTCCTTTATGCAGACCTGTTTGGTTCTGCTTTTTAAAAATTGAAATTATACTTATTTTAGAACGTGCCTGAAAAGCTAAATTAGAAAAATACATAAAGAAGAATATGCTTAAAACTTAAAGGAGAATAGAGAAAATCTTTGAGGTTTTCCCATTGGGTTTTTTAATATATAAAACTTATTATAATTTATAAATGTAAATAATGGCAAGGCATGCATTCAAGCATTCGGGTCAATAGCACTTCAGAATAACTCAGGCCAGCTGGACGAACGAAAACAGAGCGCGCTGGATTCACTGCAGCGTTAATGCTAGCAGGAGCCGTCGTGAATGGTTGCAGCACCGTAAAGGTGAAACTCGCCCTGTAGCTAGGGCTGTGCAGAAAAATCCATGCTTCATTGAAACCCACCTAAAGCTCTGATTTGATAAATGAACTGCGCGTTGGGTTAGTACTCTGCAACGTGCTGAAATTCATGTTAACCTGAAAGGACTCGTGTTCGAAGCAGGCCCTCTCCACACCTCCAGATGGAAACGGCTGCTACCGTTTCCCTGTAAGTCCCTCCAAGAGGAGCACAGCGTGCTCCTGTGGCAACATATGGTGCCTAAACAGGACAGGGATTTGCAGACTTTTTCTAGTATTCAGTATGAAAAAGAAGAAAGAAAAATAAGCTAATGCTATCAGCTTAATTTAAAAAGGTTCAACATTTGCATTCAATTAAACACCCTAACGACAAGAATGATTGCACAGAAATCTTGGTTGCTCTGAAACTTTCCACCAGGACAGGCACTAATGTGTGCGAAATTCCTTATCCCTGACATAACATATGACTATGCCATTTTGAATAGTAACATGTCAATAGTTCAATATTACCATATTAATAACCAACATGTATTAATGTCCCATCCATAATACTATTAACCGATAATAAGAGTTTAAAGTATAACACACATCATGATATTTCATACTTTTATTCACTCTACGGCTAGTTACAATTTAAAAGTTAAAAAAAAAAAACAAAAACCTACCTCAACTTCCTGAATACGCAAGCATTACAAATGAGAAAAGAAAAAAAGAATGAAATCAAGCAATATAAAGATATGTTAACATTCATCAATTTTTTCCTCAGTGGCTTTTGAAAAGCGTAATCACTTATTTCGGGAGACCTTAACCTTCAAGTTGTATCATTTCTGTCCTCCCTTTCTGACTAACGACCTCTCCGCCTCGGCTGTCACGGCCCGGGTTTCATCTGCTGCACTGTTAGCCAAACGCCATTTCGTTCTCCTGGAGCACCAAAAAGGAGGCTCTTTCATTTCCTTTTGGTTGACTAAAACACCAGAACGCATTTCTCCACGCACCTCGTCTGTAACATCCTGATATAGAAGAGAGAATCAAAAATAGTTTTTCCTTAACGGGCTTGAAAGCGCGTTTACGCGCTGGACGAGGCAGCGAAGGCAAAACCGGGCGCGGATCCACTTCAGTACAACAGGCGACGGCGACTGAGAAATACTTCTGAGGAACAAATATTTAAAAACATCTCCCTCCTTGCATAAAATTCACCCTCCGAGGGCTTTGCCTACGGTTCAGTGGCTGGGAATGACTGAGTCGATCCTTTGATTAACTGAAGGGGCTCTGGTCGCCTAAAATCATGCGGGAAAAGGGAAGAATTGGTAGCGCAGACCAAGTCTGCATCCGACCCGTTTAGCTCAACCCAGCATTACAGACACGCAACCTATTGGCTTGGCCTCTCTACGCATAAAAGCGGCCCCCAGATCTCAGACCCGCGTGCCCCTCTCGGAGGGCACAGCTGTGCCGACAGGAGTGGACGGGGGCGATGCCGGGGGCTGCTGGCCCCAGGGCCCCCTCTCGCACCATGATACAAACACGTAGAAGCTTCCAGGTAAAGGAGAAGAAAGCTTTAGCCCTCACACGGGTGCAATGCGGCCCTGGCAAATCTGAAAGTTTCTAAAATCCAAAGCCAGGGAAAAAGAAACCCTCACCAAAACTACTATCTGCCTATAGTAGGTGTCTACCAAGGGAGGAAGGTGGACCCTGAGACAATCCCTCGCACACCATCTTTTTGCTGCTGTATCTGTTCATCGCTGAGCATTACGAACTCCTACTTCAAGATCCAACCCTCAGAAAGCGTAACTGAGACAAGTATATGCTGCTAGACCTGGGCTTCAGGTCTTCATTAGATTTTTACTATTTTGATTTGAGTAATCACGAGATGAGATGAAGCACATTTTGAAGTGATTTAAATCCCCTTCATTGTATCATGCAAAATAAATAAATAAATAAATGAAATAGATGAAAGTTTTCCGAACAAGAGCAAAATATTCTTTTATCATTCACTGCACAGGTGTCAAATTCAGACAACTTAGACAGGCCATCAACAAATTTAAGCTACAGAACAATCGTATGATAAGCTAAATATGCAAAGGGCATATAAAAAATGCTAGCTTAGCATCTTACTCATGGGGCCCATTGCTTCATGCAATTGTCTACAGATAACCTCAGAGGCTCCTACCCACTTTTACTAGGATTTAACCCAAAGACACAGAATACAGGGCCGAATTCAGCTTTCAGGTGCCAGTTAGGTTTGTACGCAGGCTGGATTTAAGATACATGCTGAGCTCTTTCTCGTTCAAGTCCTGGGAGTTATTTTCAGTCAGACAACACATAATGAAGTCACATCAAGAAAGACCAAACGTACCTGGCCAAATTAATTTATTCCTTCTCCCCAAAAGGATGATATGGCAATCATCCGCTATTGATGCGATCATCTATCTAGATGAAATATTAAAACTGACAGAAAAATAACCATGACACAGGCAGAACAATTAAAAAAATCTTATATATTGGGTTCTGATTTGCAAAACCAGACCTTGAACTAGAGCTGGGCCTGATGCAATTTCCTATCACTCACATCAGAAAAGTCTGCAAGCAGAAATTGGCTGCAAGGCCAACACATCCCTACGTGACAGCTTCTCTCTCCAATTCCCCTCCATTTCACTACAATTAACAAGTTAAAAAAAACCCTGAAGTTACCATTATAAAACATATAAAACATGTTTAATCCTCCCTTTTTTCTCCCTCTCACTAGCAAAGTCAACAAACAGCTTTTGGGTCTCCTGAAGTTTGTGTGTTTTCAGTGTTAATCCCACCACACTTATCTCTGTTGTTGCTCTTTGTTTTAGTTATTACCTAATACTTGATATTTTGGAAGAGTAAATGAAGCACGGTTGATTTACCACAGAGGCACTTTCTGCACACACTTGACTCACTGAAAAACAGCTCCTGCAAGATGCTCTTGGTTATAAATAGAGGCAAACATTACCTAAAAGGATGCATAAATATTTATGCATCGTCACATTAATTGAGCTTATAAGTTATTTGTATGAATCAAGCAAAAATGAGACACTGACTGAAATAACTCCATAGAAAATCCTCCTTGTTTTGCATTTTTCCAAACAAGCTCGGTTGAGTTGCCTCCCCCAAGGCCTGGGGAGATCATCCTGCACTGAACGAGCCTGAAAGGTGCACAGCCATCACAAAACCATCATCACAGATCTTTCCTCCAAAATCTAATATACAACAGGCTTAACCCACAGGGCTGCCAGATAACCTTTTGGAGGTAATCTACAGTTCCAGCTCCTCCCTGCCAACAAGAGCTTAAGTTTCTAAGTATTTCCATGAGGGACATTTATTAACACTGGTTTACAGGCTGTTTAGTATTTTCCTCTTCCATCCTCGATGTATGATTAAACCTTTTACCCTCATAAAGACCAGCTGGGAAAAGTGGTAATTACCAGCTCGTTGCTCTTTTGAAATTAGCTTCAGAAAGATGCAGCTGCATTTTCTGCCTCTCTCCACCTTGCAGTACAAGAAGATCGTTCCAACCTCCAGCAGTGCGAAAGCACCAGCTGCTGCTTGCTAAAGTCAATCTAGCCAGTATCATAAACATCTCCCCCAGGCCTATTGCCCACTTTAAGCAAACAGTTTGTGTCAGCAAATTACGCGTTATTTATTTATTTAAGAAGATAAAATATTTTGCCCATTGAGTCCTTCTCTGAATAGAGATTTCCCAACGGTAGCTAGTGCCCAGAGTCTGCATTAGTGTCAAGAGCCGATTCCAAACTCCAAAGCACATTAAGGCATCTCTAACCACTGCTGAGCTCTTTCTTTCACTCTCTTCAGGGAAGAGGAGAATATGCATCCAGCCTGGTGCTTTTGCTTAGTGAATTGGTAGTGGCTTGTGCAGTGAATATTTCATTTCAACTTTGGCAGGAGAAACCTTTGAAAAGTTTAGCGATAAATTTCCCAGAAAGGCCAGGAGTATGGGGGTTTACTTACAGAGCTAGCAACATTAAGGAGTAAAATTGAGAGAAACTGTTTAGACTGAATTAGCATCCACATGTACTGAAAGCTCTGGGAATAACAAGACCTGTCTAGAATATTGTAGCTAAGTCATTAAAAAAAAAATGTAAGGAAACAGTTTAGCCTAGAATGAAAACAGAGCTGGTCTAAAGGGCTCATATTAGACTCATATACAGTGTTAAACACCTTAATACTAATTTATTAATAATAGTGTAAAATACTTAAATACTTATCCAAATTAAAGTACAGATATATATGGGATCGAAAAGCACCCTGACAGTGTGTTACAATCTCATAAGCCTCATAAAAGTCTCAAATTCTCAAGGCTCTGAAACTTCTGTAATCATGTGTATCTTTTGTTCAGCTATCAGTAATAGGCAAAAGAATTCTTTCTGGTTAATATGGTCCAGAATATTGCTTTTTTAAGATTTTCATGAACTAAAAGCCCTCTACCCCAGCCATATCAGGAACCGAGATTTGCTACTCCTGTTTTACTGGAGGACTTTTCCAGAAGTTCCTGTAGGCAATACTAAGAAAGTGGTATGCAGAACTTTCAGCATAGTCTTTCCTTATCCACAATCACAATGTTTCATTGGGATGGCAAAAATTCCAGAAATGAAATTTAAAAAAAATTTGGAAAATAAAAGAAAACTAAGCTACCTCTGAGCCCATGACAACCTGAATAAGAATTCTCATTCTTTAGAACTCAGTCATGTGGCCTTTTATGCAGAAATCTTCCAGCTGCTCTACTGGATTTTTTTTTTGTAAAAGTACAAATTTAGAAAGAATTAAAAATAGTGTTTTTAAGAAAATCACTTTGTTTACACACAAGACTGAAGCCAAAGGGTATGTCTGCATTGATGAGGGCAATCAGATGCTCATTTACCCTACTTGTGCTTCAAGCAGGATGAATGAGGACCAGCTGTGAGCCAGAAGCTATATAGCTGCTTTAGCACAGCACTGTGCCAACATATACAGCTGATATATTTGGGCGGGTGAAATGATAACACAACTGTCTGCACTAGCTTTGTTTTGCAATATTGAGAACTGAAAAAAAGCCTTAGTTTGATTTGTCTTTGCTGGCCCTTTTTAATAGAATAACTGTAGAGAGCATCATCGCTTCTGCCTGAACTTTTCTTCTCGTTAGCATGTGCTAAAAGGCCTCTTTTCCTTGTCAAGAGTTAAATAATTCCTATTAGCATTATGTACATCAAGGTTTTCACACTTTAGTATGCCCTTCAGCCATACCAGCTGATGTTGCAAACTGTAAAGCTTTCGTGAGCCTAGAAAGGTAAAATTAGGGAGTCTCCCAAGCTATGGCTTCAGAGACCCTTGTGTCGGATGTGTTGTACTGTCCTGATCCTGGTGGAATCTGCAGGGAAACTTGATAGTTATTGACCCTTAAATAAATTTGTAAGGCCTTACTCCCTCCAGAATTTGGTCCCGGGCATTTGAAGAGTTTTTGATTTCTTTAGTCACTCTCTTGATTATACCCTGCTGCCTGCAGCAGACTTATGTAAATCTCTACTTAACCAGAACGCCCTATCCATCTCCTACAACAAACATGGTTGATTCAGCTTCTGAACTTCACTCCAGGCTCCCAGTGTTAGACAGTAAATTAA